ATGTAACCGTTCCTGATCCCTAGAAGCTAGCTACATAACTTTACAAGTATAACAATCTTACAGTGTAACCATTCCTGATCCCTAGAAGCTAGCTACATAACTTTACAAGTATGACAATCTTACAGTGTAACGGTTCCTGATCCCTAGAAGCTAGCTACATAACTTTACAAGTATTATAATCTTACAGTGTAACGGTTCCTGATCCCTAGAAGCTAGCTACATAACTTTACAAGTATAACAATCTTACAATGTAACCGTTCCTGATCCTTAGAAGCTAGCTACACAACTTTACAAGTATAACAATATTACAATGTAATGGTTCCCATACTTGTAAAGTTATGTAGCTAGCTTCTAGGGATCAGGTCATTAGAGAACAGAACAGTCATCTTTATCGTATATTCAGAGTGTTGCCTAAGTGAAAGTTCTATTTGCATCAGTTCAGTCTTATAAAGAATAGTGAAATAGTGCTCAGTTTAGACATTGAGGCATGTTTATTTCTGCCCGTGTCATTAAACAGTTTTGTCAAATTATAAGAGAAATTTGTTTTTGAAAGACTAGATTTAGACAATTTTAATGAAGCTTAATTTATCCCTTAGATCAAAAATGGGGGCATTTTTAGTGTGGTCACATGTATCGGCAGTTTTTTTTAAAATACTTTCAGCTTATTTCGTGATAAAACTAATGACCTTTAAATGGAAAAGATTCTAAACCGATCACCAAGGGTATGTATGGTCAGTGTATAGGTGATTTTGTATTGTTGCTGTTTTGTTATTGTTAACGTTTAAAAAGTTTAAAAAAAGGGGGGGGGGTCATTATGTTTTTTTACTTAAGAATTACATGGCCTCATTTTGAAGGTAAAATATGTTAAATAAGATGTGATAAAAGAACACCCAAGTTTAAGTACAGATAATTTGGTTTCACTTTTTAAATCTTAGGGATTTACTTATTTTTTTATTCAATACTTGTTGTGTATGATATGATTATTGTACTTGTCTTGAGGGTTTTAACATGATTGCTTTCTTTGTCTTCTCCTCATAGGATTCTAATAAACATGTGTACAGGGTCTTACAGTGTCACGAAGATGAACTTACACAGATGGTGTCCACTATGTCTGATGGATGGAGGTTTGAACAGGTATCTAGAGTTATGTAGCTAGCTTCTAGGGATCAGGAATGGTTACACTGTAAGATTGTTACGTGGTGAAACTTTAACTAGTAAATAACCCAGTAGTAAACTAATTACAACTAGCATATGTCTATTATGTTCTCTAATGACCCAGAATCTCATGCATATTCAAAGAGGGGGGCTCAATCCTTATTAACAAATAACTTTTTCTTTACACCAAAAGGAAAACAATATCGACATACTACAATATTTGAGTTAAGCCATGGAAAACAATATCAACACATTGTGATATTTGAGTTAAGCCATGGAAAACAATATCAACACGCTGTGATATTTGAGTTAAGCCACAGAAAACAATATCGACATACTACGATATTTGAGTTAAGCCATGGAAAACAATATCAACACATTGTGATATTTGAGTTAAGCCACAGAAAACAATATCAACACGCTGTGATATTTGAGTTAAGCCATGGAAAACAATATCAACACACTGTGATATTTGAGTTAAGCCACGGAAAACAATATCAACACACTACGATATTTGAGTTAAGCCACGGAAAACAATATCAACACACTACGATATTTGAGTTAAGCCAACTTTACATATAAAATGCATGTCTTCACTACTAGCTTCTTTAAAAGTATATGTCAGCCCAAGTTCCAAATAAAACTTACTCCTTGCAACCATTGCAGCCCACAAACAGTGGGTGCTTAACATCCGCTACACCACTCTTAACCACTGTTGTCTGAGAATAAATAGTCAACAATAATTTCAAGTAGCCTCTTGACAACACTGTTAAGCCTAACATTTGAGAATTAAATATTCAATTTTATCACTACTTTAGACTAAAGTAATCAAGTTAATATTTAAAAAAATCAGGTGACAAATAACTAGTCTATAAATGATATTTATGTATCAATACAATGTATCTAGTCTATTTAAATAGCTTATCAATGAGCTAATTGCAAGTAAAGTCAAGGTGCACTCACTAAGCCTAATTAATGTTAGCAATACACCATCAAGCCCTAAATTAAATCTTAAATCCTACTAATAATATTTGACCAGACAAAAAAATAAGTGGTCATCTAATATTGTTTGACTGTTCAATCGACTGACTTGCCAACCCTTTTGATTATTGTGTTTTATTTAATACTTGAAAACTTCTTGTAAATCGGCCTTTCTTTGTTTTTAATGATTCATGGAAAGAATAATACTCTTAGTTTCCACAATGTCCGAAAGTAACCAAACAATAATGATAACAAATCTTCATGTTATTTTTTACATATTGTTTTATTAGAAAAACACTGTTGAGTGACTAGCCAGAGGATAGTGACCTCTTACTGTCACTACTAGTGGGTCAAAAAGTTAATGTAGAGCCCTGAAAATGATTCATATAATAAAAATTAATAAAATCAGATATATTAAACATTATATTACTATAGCTGTTGTAATTTAATGTTCATGGAACAATCTGAGATCATAATAGCCGTGTATAAACAAACTTTCCACAACTCACCCAAAAAATATTTATTGACCAACAAAAACCAATTAAATAGTTCCGACAGCATCACTTTGGAGGAGTATGGCTGCTGTGATAAATTGTTATAACTTGCGTTACTGTTTGGGTATGGAATCAAGCATCAAGAACGAATATTTACGAAGACTTACGTTATGCTATCGAGTGTTTATCCAACTTGGGTATGAAATCAAGTAGCAAGAACGACTATTTACGAAGACTTACGTTATGCTATCGAGTGTTTATCCAATTTGGGTATGGAAGCAAGTAGCAAGAACGAATATTTACGAAGACTTACGTTATGCTATCGAGTGTTTATCCGATTTGGGTATGGAATCAAGTAGCAAGAACGAATATTTACGAAGACTTACGTTATGCTATTGAGTGTTTATCCAAGTTGGGTATGAAATCAAGTAGCAAGAACGAATATTTACGAAGATTTACGTTATGCTATCGAGTGTTTATCCAATTTGGGTATGAAATCAAGTAGCAAGAACGAATATTTACGAAGACTTACGTTATGCTATCGAGTGTTTATCCGATTTGGGTATGGAATCAAGTAGCAAGAACGAATATTTACGAAGACTTACGTTATGCTATCGGGTGTTTATCCAACATGGGTATGGAATCAAGCAGCAAGAACGAATATTTACGAAGACTTACGTTATGCTATCGAGTGTTTATCCAATTTTGGTATGAAATCAAGTAGCAAGAACGAATATTTACGAAGACTTACGTTATGCTATCGAGTGTTTATCCAATTTGGGTATGAAATCAAGTAGCAAGAACGAATATTTACGAAGACTTACGTTATGCTATCGAGTGTTTATCCAATTTGGGTATGAAATCAAGTAGCAAGAACGAATATTTACGAAGACTTACGTTATGCTATCGAGTGTTTATCCAATAACCACTTAGTTTCTTCTCTCGTAAAAAATTCAGTAGAAATCAAAACACAAATCATAAAGAAAAAATAAAAACTGAAACTTTCTGAGATCATTTCATCTATTTTCCTATTTTGTATATATAATTTATAAAAATCTTGATGTTTCTCAAAGTTAACTTTTTCACTATGTATGAAAACCATGCTGCAGCCTCCTTCAGACTCAACCTTCATGTACGTTTTAATTTCCTTCACAAATGTGTACCCTTCTTAGGTTTTAAGGGTTATTTCTTACAAAAAAAAAGATGTATTCAATAATAATTTTTACCTAAATAAAGTTTTAAATAAACAGCAAACTATAAACAGTTCAAGTAATGTAATACTAATATCCTGACAAAAACTACTGAACGTTAAACACGTTTAGCTATAAACTTTCAAATTCACTATACAATACCAGGGTTGACTTTAAAATCAAAATCTGACCATTCAAACATTTTGTTAGAGTTCATACCTTTATTAAACTTGCATTTCTTTCCTGAATTCTGTTTCTGATTAGTCTGATTAAATCTGTGATGTTATAGAACTCAGCTTCTTCTAAAACTCCTTTTCAGAAACAAATATAAAAGTCAAGAGGTTAGATGTTTACTTCCAACATATACTGTAAAAACATGTCTTTTTTTTTTTACTCTGTCCAGTCAGCTCCTAATGGTCTGAATGCGAGTGAAACTAGAATATACTGTAAACACTAAGTGCAAATGATAACAGAAGTAAATCTACACTTTTAACAGCACATTCTTAGAACTATCTTTTTAAACTTCTATAAGTCAAACTATACCAAGATACATTGCCAGTAGATGTCTCTGTAAGCATAGTACCATACATGATTTAATTTCATTATACACTATAAAAAAACAAAACTAAGTAGCTCTATTCTACAGTTCTAGTGAACTTTTGATATAAACTCAAGATAAAAGCATACATTTGTTCAGTTTCCCTATAGAAATGCTAAGATCGGTACAACTGGTTTTCATAGATACAGTATTACATTCAAGCAAGCTATACAACTTTGTCTTTGATTTTTCCTTTAACCTATGCTTGTTATTTTGTAAGACATTTAGTTATTTATTTAAACTTGTATCGTAACACCTTGTACTTGTTTTCTTCAGTTCTTTAAAAGAGTTATACAGATGTAAACAACACCGTAACAGTTAAAGGTTCTGTAATTATTAACAACACCATAACAGTGTTAAAGGAGCTGTAATTATTAACAACACCATAATAGTGTTAAAGGTGCTATAATTATTAACAACACGGTAATGGTTAAAGGTGCTATAATTATTAACAACACGGTAATAGTTAAAGGTGCTATAATTATTAACAACACCATAACAGTGTTAAAGGTGCTGTAATTATTAACAACACCATAACAGTTAAAGGTTCTGTAATTATTAACAACACCGTAACAGTTAAAGGTTCAGTAATTATTAACAACACTGTAAATGTTCAGAACCTTTAACCATTACAGTGTTGTAAATAATTACAGCACCTTTAACCATTACAGTGTTGTTAATAATTATAGCACCTTTAACCATTACCGTGTTGTTAATAATTATAGCACCTTTAACCATTACCGTGTTGTTAATAATTACAGCATCTTTAACCATTACAGTGTTGTTAATAATTATAGCATCTTTTAATTATTAACAACACTGTAATGGTTAAAGGTGCTATAATTATTGACAACACGGTATTGGTTAAAGATGTTGTAATTATTGACAACACCATAACAGTGTTAAAGATGCTGTAATTATTGACAACACGGTATTGGTTAAAGATGTTGTAATTATTGACAACACCATAATGGTTAAAGGTGTTGTAATTATTAACAACACCATAACAGTGTTAAAGATGCTATAATTATTGACAACACCATAACAGTGTTAAAGATGATATAATTATTAACAACACCATAATGGTTAAAGGTGTTGTAATTATTAACAAACATATTTAACCAACTTTCTAGGAGCTCTTTAACAGAGATCCATGTGGTTGTTAGCACTGTTTGAGATCGTGTACTGATAAATTTCTAGCAACCACTAATAGGCTTAGTTAATGATGAGAAACACTTATTTTAAATGAATACAAACAAACCATTTTCTCCCAACCCCCCTCCCCAACTTTTAACTTTAGTGTTTGTTTTATATACTAGTAGAAATGGCAAGCTCTCAAAACTGACAATTGTGTAAATTAGTGACAAGATAAGTGTTTCATCTAGGCTGCCGAGTTTCGTAAGCCTTACCGCAAATACCCGACTCTCTCTAGGTTACACTAGATAGACTGCTTGGACGTGATAAGATTTTGAAAACAATATTTACAAACTTCTGAAATCTACAGACTTTCTCAAGTTCTTTCAAAGTGTATCTATCACTAAATGGGTGTAGTCTTATACTAAAAAATATCTAGTTTATCTCAAAAATTTACTTAAGTATCCTATAATTTACTACATTATCATTCAAAATTATTTTATATATAATTTTCACATTTCTTCATACACAGTGAACGTTATAAGTAACACATATGGCTTACCTTCTTCTGCAAGACCTTTATCAATGACTAATTTTCCATGGCGTAAGTAATTAAGGACTGGTCCAAAATAACTTGGGTCTCTATCAATGAGGTAGGCCCCCGTATCATCCTGATGGAGAGAGAGAGAGAAATATTTTTACACAGAACAAAAGTTTTGATTTTAACACCTCTACAGATTAAACTGTTTTGTTAATTTCCTACTTGACTTGTCCCAACGTGAATTCCTGGTAGAAATATGGCTAACCTTGGCATTAAATTAAAACTATCAAAACTTAAACTTTCCCCAAACTTTTTTTTTAAACTAAGACTTGTCGAGTTATAATGTGGATTGTCAAGATTTCGAGTTTGATAGTGAAAGGTTGCTTGAGGTGGCGATGGCTAGCAAAGAACTAGACTTACAAATTCTAAGTCCATAGAAGCACCGGATTTTACTGGAGTGTAAAACTACAATGATTTCTATAATTGATATTTGAAACCATCGGTACTTGGTGAAACTCTATAAATACAGAACTGTGGAAAAACAAGACAATTGTACATTTTACAAATACATGATTTATTACGACCATGGTTTCGGCAGTAACGGCATCCTATACTGGCAAAACCATGATTGTAATAAATGAAGTGTTTGTGAAACGTTGAACTGTCTTGTGTTTTCTTAATTCTGTACAATGATTTCATTTATCTGTTAAAAATTGTTAGAGACTCAGAAAGATTTCCCATGAAGTTTTTTTTAATTAATCAGTTTCTTAGCGATAACTAGAATACTACTATTACTCAAAGTAACACACCTTAGTTTTGAAAACCTTAGACCTTGATTCGGCTATTTCATCTCGTCATTAATATCCATCCTTTGAGAGTATTTTACCTGACGACGCACCTTGTGGTCACAGTTTGGATTATTTTAAGGTTTTAGCATACAGCTATATATATCTATATATCTGCACCAGTGTCATACTTAGTATGCTTGGTGTTTAATAATCTGATCACACATTTACAGCCTAACCATATAGTCAGAGCAGGTTTAATAAAATCAAGACACTTCATTAGCAGTCTCTTTGAATGTGGAACTACTAAAAAGTTTGTAAAACATTTACATTTCACACACACCTTTACCTAATTTGAAATTACTCACATTATCTCCAAGAAATATTACATTTGTCACTGGTTACTTAAAGGGTCCAGGAAAAAAAGTAATTTTTAGTAAAAGATGGGTGGTAACCTTTTGGATTGTAGGGGCTTAAAGTCCACTTGCTCATAAAAACATGGTGCATTTGTTTAATTAGAAAGTGAATGTGCAATAGTAAAAAGAAAGAGAGAAAGAAAAAAGAAGAATGATCATAGTTTTAAGGCTTTTTCTGTACTTCCGACTTTTTTCCTTTACCAGAAAAAACTGCTGCTATAAGTTACACATAAACACACAAGCTTACTGGTAAAACGTGAGGTGTTAACACATAAACACACAAGCTTACTGGTAAAACGTGAGGTGTTAACACATAAACACACAAGCTTACTGGTAAAACGTGAGGTGTTAACACATAAACACACAAGCTTACTGGTAAAACGTGAGGTGTTAACACATAAACAGACAAGCTTACTGGTAAAACGTGAGGTGTTAACACATAAACAGACAAGCTTACTGGTAAAACGTGAGGTGTTAACACATAAACAGACAAGCTTACTGGTAAAACGTGAGGTGTTAACACATAAACACACAAGAATACTGGTAAAACGTGAGGTGTTAACACATAAACAGACAAGCTTACTGGTAAAACGTGAGGTGTTAACACATAAACAGACAAGCTT